TGAGAAATGGGGAGAAACGTGGAACAGAAGTGAGTGAAGGACTATCAGGAACTCACCCTACAAATCTACAGATTTTTTAAAATTCTGCAGCCTGTGCGTGCAAGCTGAGGTTAAACTGGATTAAATGGAGCAAAAGAATCCAAAACTGGATTCTATAATCCAAAAGTGGAGCTCCCAGACCTGTTTAAATCATGACAATTTCCATTGGCATAGTGGGTTTTTTTTAGTTGCACTGGATTTGACTCTGCTGGGCCAAAATTCCAGTAACGATCTTGCACCAATTGCCTTAATCTTGCAAGCAAATCCGCCTCCCTAAAGCCATTTTTTTTCCGGTGTAAAATGAAGGCCGAGATGCTTAAGTGGCCCCAGTTTTCCTCCCCCCTCCCACCCTCCCAGCCTACACACAGTCCTCTCATTACTATGCCAAGACATAAATAACTGAGCCAGCTCCAAAGCAATTGCTTGTCTCTTCGCTTAAGCTGGTTTTATGTTCTTGCATCCCATGGGTTTGGGCCAAGAAAGAAAATATGGTCTGGGGGAGGATGGGAGAACCGTCAAACAAAGTGGGAAAAATGAAGGCGACAAAAAAAATTGGAAGCTTGGAATCAAGCAGCTTATTCTCTTTGTCGTGGATCCTACTGGGCAAACTCTTGCCACAAATAAAAATCTCAGCTAAACAGCCATCCTACATACAAGAGAGATGAAGCTGTGGGGCTGGCCTAAAAATTAAATAAACTTAACGTGTTGCATGATTTGCTTGTCTCTTGGATTTTAGACCAACACACCCATTAACTGGCCTTTAAGTGGTGCACCAGCCACAGAGTCCACATGCATCTTTTCAATTCTTCTTCGTGACTCTTCTACTCCTCCAAGGCCAAGCCTGGGGAGACATCTGGAAGAGAAGGAACGCTTCATCGTCTCCAAGTCGCAAAGTCTTCTTGACTTCCATGAGCTCCTCAACCATCACAAATGTCCAGGATGGGACAGCAAATTCCCAAACTTCTGTTTGATTTTCATTCTAGGGAAAGCCCTGCCCATCTCAATGAGAAGCTTGGAACAATGTTAAATTGTAGCTGGCTTTCTTTATTTTAAGGAAAAGAGCTTTTGTTTGATTAAAAAAAAATCAGCAAAATCAGCAAAGAGTTTCATCAAGGTCTCTGGGTGTGAATTTATGATTTAGTTTGCTTCAGAGGCTGCAGATATGGTGGCCATCCAGATATTCTTTGCTAGAGTTCCCAGATGCCCCAACCAGCTCTGTCAGTGGTGAGGGATGCTGAGAATTGTAGGGCAGGAACATCTGGAAGGCCAGAGGGTGCCTATTCCTAACTTAGGTTCTCCATGTATCTTTAGCAAATCTTGCTAAATACGATCATCAGTCAAAGGTAGCATAGAAAGCTCTGCAGAACCTAGATTCCTAGACAAAGTCTGAGCCCAACTGAAATATTGAATAGCTTCTGAACAAAGGAGTTGATATCAAGTTCATGAAGACAAAGGTAGCTGGATTTTGATCCAAACTTAAAAAACAGAGGGACTTCTATCTGTTGCCTGTCCTTTTATTCCTCCTTAGAAATTCCATCTGTTGAATTCAAATTCAGCCTTCTGATCTCAGCAGCCTACAGGCCAATTACTGTCCCTCCACTACAAGCACCTTTCTGTGGACCTTGATGAAATGGAAATCCCTTTACAGAAGATCAGAAGTCTTGAAGACATAAGTTCAAAAGCACTATAGCACCATCCCTTCTTGAGGCATTTTTAGGAGCCTCATGGAAAACACAGACTGCTTTGATAACTCACTCTCAATTACGATTCAATAAGAAGAGACTTGAAGCCCTTTGAGATACCCAAAGGGGCAGACAAGGCTTCTAGACTCCATGCCAGCTGCTGAAGATCTCCACTGTCAAAGAAGATGGCGAGGAAAGGTATCTCTACAGGACTCATCCAAGGAGGAGAAAAATATTTACATCCACCACGAACCCTAAAAGAAGAGCTACCGACTTGTTTTGACCCTTCCTGCTTTGAGGACTCCATCCCGAGAGGCAGGAAGGGACCTTCAACCAAGCCACGTCTCAGATCACCTCTGCAGGACAAGCCTATCAAGATCCTGTCCTTCAAAACTTGCTCCTTCCATGAAACTGCCAGGACCCCTCCTGTTGTGCCCACCTTGCCAGAACCTCTGTGTGACTTCACAATACCTTCAGTTTTTAAGAAGAGATTGGACAAACATTAGTCTGAAATGGTATAGGGTTTCTTGCCTGAGCAGGGGGTTGGACTAGAAGACCTTCAAGATCCCAACTCTGTTATTCTGTTATTCACTTCCCTCCCCTTCTCTT